TGCCTTCTTTGTCTTTGACCGGCCTCTCTGGTTTACTGTATTTCCCTGCTAGTTTCTTCGTTGTATCGTGAAGCTGTTTCATATTTCCTTCTCTAGCAGCTTTTTCTGCCGTCGTTGCTAGTTCTTCCACGTATTTCTTCTTGTCGGCTCTAATGCTCCTCTTCACTTGTTTGTTTGCTTCTATGTATTCAGCTTGTGCTTGGACTTTCTCTGCTCGTGTTCGGCTGTTGTTAATTGCTGCCTTCTTGTTCTTCCTTTCTTTGATCTTGTCCAGTGTTTCTATAGAGATCCATTCCTTATGATGGTGTTTCTTTAGGCCCAGAACCTCTTGACACGTTGAAGTTAATGCTTCCTTGATGCCTTTCCAGTTGTCCTCCATAGTAGTTTCTTCTTCTTCAGTAGATCTTGTAAGGCTTGGAACCTGTTGTTGAGAGCTATCTTGAATTCATTGAGTTTGTCAGTATCTCGAAGGAAGGCTGTATTGAACCTTTGTAGTGCTGTTTGTCCACTTGTCCAGTTCTTTTTCAGCTTCAGTTTTAAATTGGCTACAACTAGGTGGTGATCTGAAGCTACGTCAGCACCTCTCCTGGTTCTCACATCTTCCATTGTCCTTCGGAATTTTTTGTTGATGCAAATATGATCTATTTGGTTCTCTGTAGTGTGGTCCGGTGAGATCCATGTAGCCTTGTGTATACGCTTGTGTGGAAATATTGTGCCTCCTATGACCAATTTGTTGAATGCACATAGATTTGCAAATCTTTCTCCATTTTCGTTTCTCTGTCCCAGTCCATGTCGTCCCATGATATCTTCATATCCGGTGTTGTCTATTCCGACTTTGGCATTTAGATCTCCCATCAGAATAGTTAGGTCCTTTCTTGGCATTTCTCAATGATTGACTGCAGCCGCTCGTAGAACTGATCTTTAATGTCGTCGTTGCTATCATTGGTGGGTGCATAACATTGGATAATATTCATTAAGTTAATATCTCACTTCAATCAATCCAAGACATTGCACAAACATCTTCTTCTGGGTAACTACCTCACCTGCGACACGAATTAGCTCCGCTGGTCACAGCCTTTCACTAGAACTCCGACAATTACCTTTCGAAGCTAATCATCAATGAGCGTATCATAGTATGTATACTGATAAATTAAACGGTGTTCATTGATGTGCATGAGTTTCGAATTATTATAATAAAATTATTGTTATTATTATTATAAAATAATAGATATTTTTCACATATTTATTAACTCACTTACTAGGCATGGATCCGAGAGCTTAGTTGCGAGTCATGTTGTAAGTGTGGGGTTATAATCCTACTATTCAGCTTTCTTAGACAAAAATAGGTGTGACGGGGTTCAAACCTGTGACTTGTTGAATGAAGTTAAAAGCCTTCACCACCAAACCACTTTTCCACGTTCAAAATAATAAGTAACCCAAATCTCTATTTATCCTCATCATTAATCATATAACTTTCAATAAGATTTTAATTCCTTGTTTGTTTTTTAAACCAAAACACACGGAATTTTGAAAAGGTAATAGAAAAAAACGAAATATTGAGTTTATAATTCTTATGTTTAGTAAAACGATGATACGTGAAAATTAAACAAGCAAAGAATATGCTCTTTCTACTTCCATCAATTAATTTGATTTTCGGTTTGCACATACGATAACTTACATACAATCTTTTCTTCATTTTTCCACCTATACTAAATAAATATTTCTGTATTTTCCGAAGCCATTGTGAACACAAATCGGTCTTGTATTTTTTAATGTTTTTAACTTTGCCTGTTGTTAATTATTTCAGTCTATAAGAAATGATTAAAAGTCCAATAAACTTTGTTTATTTGCTACATTGAAATATCACTGTAAAGAACTAGTAATTTACTGTATGTCACTTCCGCTGACAAATATAAGTAGTATGTAGCTACAATCGAAATTGGAATGCCTGGAACCAGAAGACTAAATTGAATATAACAGAAACAAAATCGGAGAGTAATCAAAATAACGGCAGAATTAAAAAAGTAGATAATGAACAATGCAAAGAAGATGCGCAAATGATGTATTTACTGTTTAATTTTTATATTTTGCTAAGCAACCGTGTGATTAATACATAAAACAACAAATTAATCGTCCCCATCTGAGTTTTCATTCACAACAACACAAGTTTTGTTTTAAAAGTATGTTTTAATTATACACTAGCTATTTTTTACACAGCCATGGATTCCTGTTGTAGAGTCAGTAAATTACTTGTCAGATATCGCAATAGTTGAAGACCGCTAACTTCTTTTAATCATATTTTGGAATTTAAAGTATCTTTTTGGAATGCTTTATCATTTCCTTGAACTTCCATTATTTTTTATTGCCGAAACTTTCTTCATCAATCCACTTTATCTTGATCATCTCAAAACTATTTAATAACATAAGTTAATTAAGTTGAATCTAATAATTATGAATGGTGTAATTTCCTTACAATATGGAGACTCTAAAACGTCTGGAAAACGTTGACAAACGCACTAGTGAATGGATGTTTTTTCTAATGTGTGCTGATAACTGAACATTTTGTAAATGTGTATCAAAATTAACACGGAAATAAATAGATGTTAAAATACGTAATGGCTCTCATTATTTTCTGTTCAGCAACAGATGTGATTAGATGAATGTTAGACTGATAAATAAAGATATCGATTGAATGCATTGAGCTGCTATCTAAAAAAGGTAGGGCGTGGTGTGCGCTAATCATGCCAACAGATATAAGTAGTATGTAGCAGGAGTTGGAAGAAGGAAAGCAAATAGTAATCAAACTAATAACGGGATAGAAAGAATGATGGGTACGCAAAGGATAAGTGAGAAAAGATAAACAAATTATGTATCTAATGTATGAGTTTATATTTTAGAAAGGCGCTATGTGACTATTCGTTGTGCAAAGATTGTACACGAAGGGTTGAACTGTTCCATTTCCACTGAAAGTACAGTAAACAAGACTTGACTAAATTTGGGTGTCAATGCAAAATTCCCCATCTACTTATATTTTATCTTGAGTAAACTATGTTACAGAGATAGATTTGATATTTTTAACAAATTCATTGAATCCCTTCTAAGTTATACCCGGAGTTTCACAGAGTTATATTAGAAATTCTTTGTATTTAAATAAATCATCTGTTAATCCTAGTGAATAACTTGATTCAGTGTAAAGTTTGAGTATGAGAAAACTTACCGTTTTTAACCAGGATTTAACCGGACCATGAAGCTTGATTCTATGATGAATTAATTGAACATGGTAAAGTGATCTTGGTAGTGGGCGTGACTGCAATGTGGGGGACAAAGGATAACAACGCTAAATTTAGAAAATGTAAATGTTAATATCGTATATAAGGCAATAGAAATTAAATAAACGTAATCTCAACCAATAAACAGTATTGTGACATGAAATCTGTTTAAGAATACTATAGAATTGTTTTTATCGGACATACTAGAAACTTAATGATGTTTTTAAATTCTTAAGACCTACAGAACTATATTAAGTTCAGCGTTGTTTAAATTTTCTTTAAATCCAGTTATTACTTCTTTCAATATATTACTCGGTTTGGAATGAACTTTGTATGATTTTGCAATGGAATTCTGTTTTGCTTCACTACAAAGTATTGTACATATATAACGAATTCCTACTTGCGTTTCGTCATTAAACAACAAACAGACTACATTGAAATACAAAGTAAACATTTGTTCAACTTTTAATGTTAGTAAGTAAGAGTTATTCTACTTTTATCGTACGATATATTTTTTCTGTAAATATTAAAAACACAGCTCTGTTATATCCATTATCATTTGTTTGTTACTTTGTGTAGAATACAATTGGTCTGTATATCAAATACTGTCAACCAAACAATGATAAAATTTGAACTGATCCCTTTACCTTCCTCTACGACTGAAAAATTACGTACTTTGTGACATTTACTGTTTGCAGTATCTTCTAAATGTATGAATGTGATATATGATCAAGTTGGTGTGTTGCTATACCACTAAAATGTTAGAAGTTATGTGTGAAAAATAGTTCGAAAAATTGTCAAATACTTTTATAATTTTAGCAAAAAATTGTTCTGTTGAATACCTAGAATAATTGAGTTTTATTATTTTAGAGAATGAAATCATAAAGTCACACAATAAAATGTTAATTTTGATATGTGGGTTTTTACATTAATTCTTCTGTAGTTAAAATTATGATGTGAACCACTTTCTAAGTCAACCTGGAGTCCATTGGAGAATTTTTTAAATCTCACTGCAATTCTGATATATAGAGTTAAGTGCCTTTGAAGTTACGATATTAAGTTACCTAGTATTCATACTGTGTTCGTTATAACTGACGTAAAAGTAGTCGCTACAAAATATTGGTCAGACCTAATTTGTACTGTTAACTCGCAAACACAACGCTTATGATTGATAATCCAATATCCTAACCTATAGGTTAATGAATAACATTTTAATGTTTGATGAATGAAGTAAACCTATTTTGCTACGTTTACTGCAATTTAACTCATTCTTGAAGAAACATTGAAGTTCTGAAATTTTTACCTGTTCATCAATTTACTGTTAATTTATTTTTACGCTAAATTTTTGTAAACAACCTTAATAAATTTACTCATTAAATTCAATTACTTATACTCAAATACATTTGAGTAAAATGTTAAGATCACGAGTGAACTGATAAGTTTGTTAAATCGAAGACCATGCAAAGTAGGATTGTTTTTGTGATCAAATAGTCACTTGCACCCATTCATTGCGCAACTGCATTTCATGCTCACGTAGTGATCTCAGGGTCTGAAAGGAACTTGTATATTTTACATACTGATAAGCAAGTTTCATAATATATAGGCCAATTGAATCTGTAACCTTATTTAAAAGTAATTATGATGGGTAGTTAGACATACTTAGTTAACCAATCACAAATTAGGCTGTTTGGTCGATTCAACTTTTATTTAGTAAAGATAATATATTAAACAGAAGGAATAAGCAGATTGGTTGAAACAGATTTGATAATGAAGATGAAAGTAAGCTAGTTGAATTTCTACATTCGGATAAGTTGGGTAAAATGGAGATTTAGTAAAGCAGAACTTCACCTTTGGAGAAATGGATTTAAAATACTGTTTTATATTACTGTTTGGTATCATAAATGAGATACTACAAGTCTCAGGAATTGCACCTAAAGGTCATCCTAGAGGTAAGTGATTATACAAATTTATAATTGTGCTACATAGATCAAACATGGGACATTTAACAGCGTTTTTTTCTTTTAAATGAATATATCAATACATTTTTGTTTGTTTGTGAAGCTCGTGATGTCAAAACATTAATAGACATAACTGACAAAGTTCCAAAAATTTCAGATGCGATCCGTATATAATGTTTGTTTAAACCTAAAATACAACGTTATGGTTGTTTTCTAGGATAAATCTGATACATCTTTGCTTATAATGCTTGTGAATTGAGACAATATCAAGGCAATACGCATACTATACACATATGCCAATAAGAGACTGATAAATTGCAGTCGTAAACATCAATGGGAAGATTCAAGTAAACAATACCAAGTGATCACTAGTATAGGGGTTGTGGAGATTGTTAAGTTTTTGATTGAGATCATGAACCGATTGATGTTAAACCACCTTTGGAAACCTGGAGGCAGTGGATGGCCATTTCGTCCTATTGTGGGACTTCTCAGCAGTGTGCACCCGCGATTCTGCTCGCGCGAGACCGAAGGCCCGGGGTTCATATTCCGCGAGTGGGATCGTGGATGCACACTGCTGAGGAGTCCCACAATAGGACGAAACGGCCGTCCAGTGCTTTCAGGTTTTCAAAGGTGGTCTAACATCAATCGGTTCATGATCTCAATCAAATACCAAGTGAATTTAATACTGATAACTTGGAATTAAACTGTATATACTTTGATAGGTAGTATGCTTGGATACACTGCTTTTTGAAAGTGAATGTTTATCACAATCAGTATATCCTTACTCTCAGGCGGAAATGAATTGATCGGTTGCAAATAATGTTGAGGAAAAAGTCAAAAACAGCTATATCATACTGAAGACAAAGAACTGGAAAACCAGTTGAAAGGAATTCTGATGACATCCTTTATTAAGGCTGCACAGCTGTTTTAAGTTATTTGGTAGATATATTAATCTGTTGAAAAAAGAGGAGTCATCTTCATAAAGTGCTTAGGAATTTTATTTTTACCCTTAAATGCCCTGGTACGACTGAGAGTGGGGAGAGTCAGCTCTCCCTCTCGAAATAATCTCACATAGTCACGTGCATACAGCCACTGTCAGGGAAGTCCTGCTTACTGTCTTCTCGCGGCAAGGGTGTTGTTTACGAAATTCAGAGAACGAAAAGTGAATGTTCAGCGCCTTGGCTGGGTTGGTGGATACGGAGAGTTAACGTAGGGGAGTCGAAAAATTCTAATTCTAAACCAATGTTGCATATGGGCTCCAGTATCTTAACGGAACAAATGGAGTGTGAGCCAATTGTTGGTCACCGGCTACCTTGGGACTGCATCTCCTGACGTTGCTGCACTGCCTTATGGATTAGACCTTTAGGTCAAAGATTCAGAGTATGACTTCCCAAGATAACCACCTGTTTCAGTTTGTGCACCCGGGCAGTATCACAGCCCTCACACAAATCGGATGGTTTATGTGGCGCATATGTATTTGGTGCTCCCTTGTACCAATGTTCTTGTGTTTAAATGATATAATAATAGTAATGGCCAAAAGATCAAAGAAAAATGGTAAAATATGTTGATTCAAGGATCAGAGTTATAAAAAATAACTGTCCATTTGAGAAATTTGAAGGATATAAGTGGTATTGGAAAATGGGGGTTGATTATAACGACTGACGAACAAATTTAGAAAATTTAAAGAGGGCGGTAAAAACAGATTGAGCTGAAGTAAACTATGTAGATGATCTTGAGACTACCAATGAGATCGGAAGTGTCGCTTGTTAGCTTCTAGCATGTAGTGCAAAACGCTATACCAGATAGTTGTAACTTGTCAAGAGCAAAAACTCAACAAGATTTATGGATATTTCTCTACTTATATGCTGAATTCTTACAGTTGTAATGAGACTAAAAACCAAGAAGAAATTTGAATAACTCTTGAGACTACAATCCTAAATGATTATTTTTAAGGAAGAATTAGTAAGAAACTAATAGATTTAATATGGATAACATGCTTACGGGATTTTTAATTCTTTAATGTTACCTGAAACTTTTTGGAGAAGCTTTGCACCTAATGGACGAACTAAATAGATTTAAGCTAGTGTCTTTCGGATATTTGGGCGTAGTTCATTCACCTATATAAGTAGATAGTAAGAACGCTTTGTATCCAAGCCTTGTAGTCCTAACGTTTCCATTAAAGCTGGTATCAGTTCACTATGAAGGCCCTAATCTTAATTCCTATTTCTTAAAACTAATACCAACTTCAAACCCTAACTCTAAACCCCAAAACGTAATCCCAACTTCTAACCCTAATTCCTATCTCGAGCGCTTAAGCCTAACCCATTTTCTTCTTCCGTAAGAAATAACGCGTGAAAAAGGTCCACTATTTATGTCGAAACTTCATATCCCTTTGTAACGAGTGGACTCCAGGTTATATGGAGCAGCGTTTTATTGATCGATCCGGTGACACGTAAACACGTAATGAACGACTTAGATTCCCGATTGGCCCTGCTTCCCTGTCTAGCCCAGCCAGTTGAGTCCAGAACACAAGTCACAGCCCCTGAGATATGAATCGTTATATTTCAAAAATACTCTGTTTATATACCAACCAAACAGACCACATCGTCCATAAAAATAGAAAACAACATTTACACAATGTTTAACAAGTGAAATAAATATCGACCAATAGGGAGTGTACATGTAACGTCCAAGGACACCATTAGACTTGACACCATAATTATTGGTATATTCCTCTGCATACCTAACATATCCTTTGCGATTTTTTCAATTTCCTATTGCAACTTGCTTAATAAACGCACAGGGCCTTCTGATAGGTTAAGATGTCACATAAAATTTCCAAAGTCGTTAATATGGTTTATTTCTTCACTGATTATCATCGAATTTATAAAGGATGTAAGGACTATGACTGAGTGAGAGTGCTGCTTTTTCAGACATGTTTGATCTGAAGCTGTTGCATCACTAAGACCTGTAGTATATACAGGATATTTATTCGAGCTCTTTTTGAGCCGTGTAGATCATTTGAAAAGATAATTTTGGTGTAACAAAGTGATCAAAATCGACGAGATGATTTAGAATTGTGCTGTTGATAATTTTTCATCTTACATTTAAAAGCCATAGAGGATGTTGCTCGAGAATGTATGCGTTGTGAGCTCGATATAACTTGCTCCTCAAGAGCAAGTAAGCTTATAGATGAACCTTAAAGAAGACCAATATAATCTTGTTCGCTTTTAACAACTTGTACACGCTCTGTATCCTTCCAGATGTCTTTACTTACAAACCTATTTGAGGGTTCATTTTGTAATTTAAATGTCAGACTCTGTACGCAGATTATTGACAATGTCAAGTATACCAGGCGAAATCATTTCTGGAAATATACTACTAATATGCATGTATTTTTGGTTGCGAATATTTATAGCCAAATCGACATGGTAATTTTTTTTATCTGGAAACCAGAAATTTGTTCACATCACTTGAATTCTGGTTAGTTATTTAAGGCGATTAATGATCAGTGAAATCAAGGCAATTATTTGTATGATTCAAAAATTCAAATGGAAAGCGTGGATGTAAATACAATTGCGCGAAACTACATAAATCCAAAAGTTTATAAAAGAGAGAAGCATTTAGTTTGCTGCACATAGAAGCTATTTAACAAAGTAGGGCGTTAAGATGTAAATTATAAAATTTTTCGTCTTACGTACTTCGTTAATTAATTTTTTTAAATTTGCAATATTGAATCACTTTCGCGTTCATTTTAATTCTACATAAAATATCCGTCTTATACGTTTTAAAATTTTTTGCAATTGTCAACTACACAGCGTTTTATTTGTGTAGAATAATCATGAAATATGTGCTTACAATACTTTTCTTCAGAAATTAAAGACATGATCCCCATCAGTAAAGTCTACTTTTTGTTTTAATAGTATGAAACCAAAGATAGATCCTGCAGAATACAGGATGTTGGAACACTACTGTTGTTCGCTCCTTATTCTTTCACTTAATTGATATGGATATTTGTTCAGCTTTGCTTACTGATCTGAGGAAGTAATCCCAGTCATCATCAATTATTATAACCAGAGGAAATTTTAAACCATTTAAGGAACTGACTGAATTGGTGATAGAAAAATGCAATATTTTCAGGATAAGATTTTTACTAAAAATACTAAAGCTTTCCAATAAAATTTTGATGTTTAGCTTCTTACTTAATATGATCAAATGTGAAACTACATTACTATCTGAGATTGGTTTAGTACATTCCTAAACTTATTCGAAAGTTTTCTAACCGAGAAATAATTTAACAGGCAAATACTACTCTCATCTGCTAGGGTGTTAGGGAATAATGGTAAATCAGTTGATGAGGTTGTGAACCTTCATCGACTGAGATGGTTGGGCCACGTGTTACGTATGCCTAAACATCGGTTACCACGACGCGCAATGCTGATTAGTGTTAGGGATGGTTGGAAGAAAGTTAGGGGCGACCAAACCAAAATGTGGCATCAGTCCATAAAGTCACCAACTTCTAGTCTGAGCCATGTTGGTAGATGCAGACTACTTGGTTGGGGTCCGCGTGACTATCATAACAATGATTGGAGACTGTGTGACATGGTTCAGAATCGATCACAATGGCGTCAGTGTATACACTCTCTGTCTTCCCTTAAACCGTGAGATTAAAATTGCTTTATATCTTCTTTTCTATCAAGTAATTCTTTCTTCCTGTACTATATTCTCATAAACAATCTTTCTTTAATATATTACTATCATTGAAGTAACTACTTCAATGAATTTGGTGATCATCTTGTTGTGCTAATGATGTGTGGCGACTTCGACCGATGTATATATGTGCCCGATCCTACGCTGTAGATGACTGACTGACTTGACAAGTAACCTGTTTAACGAATCAATAAATTAATGAGCTGCTTACATTGTAAATAGAATCCATCTAAATCACAAATTGATATCCCATATCAGGTAATTGCATTTTTCCAGCGCTTTTCAACAACTGTTAGTACATGTTCGCCTACATTTACAGTTAAGTTCATTTTATTTTTTCTCGATATTTTGGAAACATTTTCACTTAATTTATTTACCAGAGATGAAAACAAAATCAGTGGAAAAAAATCTTATTAGAATGTTATTAAATCGATATGAACAATTTGGTGTAATTGGACGACCAGTAAATGACAGCAAAATTAAAGTTGATGTTCGTTATGGATTACAACTTTTCCAAATTTTGGATTTAGATGAAAATAAACAAATTTTACGAACTAATTGTTGGTCGATGTATGTAAGTTAAATGTGAAATAATTGCCAGATTTACAGGACTGTCTCAATGAACAATTGGTACTGAGGTATATAATTGGTTTGTTGTGGATTTCTGAAGTTCAAAATAACATAAAATATAATAACAATAACTTAATAAGTTCAACAAGCATAGTAGTCTGTAAAAGGCGAAAGGTATGATGAGTTAACAAAACGTTATTCCCAACGAATGCTGCATAAAGACATTATGACGAGGATGTAACTAGTACTTGATCACCGTTTAAAGGTCTGTCCCCAGTTCGATTGGTCTACCAAAAATCAAGAAATTAACATAAAACTTGGAATTCTTCATTATATAAAGTCTATTAGTTTAACGGAAAATGTTTTACTGCTAGAGAATAAATAGACTTGAAATTTTTGATCAATAAAAAGGTCATGTAATACTCATAACATATCTATCTTATCGATATTTACCAAAATATGTTCAGCTCATTTGTAGTGAGTGGTCAAACGTATTAATAATAAATTAGCAACCAATTATGCTTTGTTCTAGATTTACAGCGGTGAGACAAAAATCCCTGTTTAAATTATGTATAACGTTTTTATACTACTCATAGTAGTGAACATTTGAAACGGAAATATTTCTCTCACGAATGTAGATAAATGGTACTGGAATCCTTGTCCATTTGTGTTAATCGATAATGAACTGAGAAAATTCATACATATTAAATCCGAACCAAACCACGTTTTCTATTAGTTTCTTCACAAAACAACCAGGTATAACCTAATTAGTGACCTATCCATCTTACACTAAATCTGAATCCTTTAGCTCTTCATTAAATATATAATCAATCTTCCACAACGTTTTTGTAACTGTGTTACTGAAGTCATATTCATAAATTCCCAGAAATACTAGCCGAATCATGTGTTATATATTTATCTGTACTGTTCAGTCTTTCTGTTTGAATTGGATAACTGATATGGTGCACTCAGTTAATAATAAACGAAGAGGAAGTCATCATGCTCGTAGTCATCATAGAAGTAGGACATATTATCAGTAAGGCCACACAATGCATAGGCATAGTCCTGGTAGAATGGAATTCAATCTATGTTAAGTGATTAAAGAGTTCATTCAAAGTGTACTCAGTTATCTGAAAGTCATGCTTGAATGTCATAATTTTTAAAGAAAATATACAACTTAACAAATTAATCTGAGATCTCAACTCCCGAAAATTATCATGAAGTCTTAGAAATGTATCCTTCTGAGCTAAAATATGGAGATGTTTTCTTGAGGAGATTCGTTTGAATGAATGGATCTGTGCTTAGATAGTAAATAGAATTTCACTTCCGGTGCCATTTTCCAAGGTTATAGTATGGAGCGTCATGTATTCTTTAATTAACTTCAGATTATTTCGATTAACATGGTTTTTATGTACTTCACACAGTTCAAATAGAAAGTGATAACCCATTCTTATTGTTGTCACTTGTATAGTTTCAAATACACTTTTTTTCTGGTAAGCTGACAGCTAGTGAGGTATGATAGATCACAATAGAAGCATAAAACTTAATCTACCAACTATATTTTACATTCACTTGTAAGGATTATAGGTTTTTTATTTATTCAACTTAATAATAATTTACTTTTATGATTAGATTACTTATTAGTAGTACTAAAATGACAATAATAATTTTATTTAGAAATGGACAGATTCTCTTCTTCGTTGGAATGAAAGTGATTATGGAAATATCAAAACAGTTCGAATATTCCCTTCACAGATTTGGACGCCGGATATCAAACTGTATAATTTGTAAGAATATTTATTGGTTCTATTTTTATTAAGATAGTAGGTGAAGAGAAGACATTGAATATAAAATCCATTAGTTAAAATTATTTAATTGTTATTACCAGGTATACTCTCAGAACAACTTATGGAGCTTATTTTACTCTATTATAAGATGAGTAACCTTGTCTAATCACTGAATATTTCACTTTCCAAGGAAGTCACTTTAACTCGAAATTCTTGCTGACATATATTTTAAATATTCAGCATATTTATGCTTATCATATGATCTTTAAGAAAAAAAGACAGTCTATAAAAATTCATTTCTAAATTAAAATAAATTTAGTTTAAACATGAATTTGTCAAGTTATTTGTCGACTATGTTTGCTCTTGTATTCTAATTTAATGTTTAATGTAATGATTTGGAAATGCTATGGTGAACTCTCATATACATACTATTGTTCATTCATTGACTATGTGTTCTGAAATTGTATTTGATAGTCGTTATTCAATGTTTCATTTAGTATCATCACGCGAGTTAGTTTATTGTGATCCTGCTATTAGAATTACTGATGTAACTAAATATTAAACTTAATGATATAATTGTGATAGCCCAATGAATAGAAATTAGAATTGCCTACGTTTCATGACTCATTGTAGTTCATTTCTCCGGAATAAATAAATAACCAAACTAAATTAACACAGGTATAAATCGTATCAGAGAATAAGGTAGAATATTTAGTTCAATAAGAATCAAACTAGATCAAGATGGTTCCTTGAAAGAAACTACTGTGTAAATCTTCGTGTATTCTTCTAGGTATGAAAAATGCTGTAAATAAGGATATTAATGCTGTGTAACAGAAAACAGGTTATAAATATTAAAAGTTTTGATTTATATATCAATTTCGTTATGGTTTAGTCGGTAGGTATTCAGAATATTCTTTTCTTTCTGTTAAAGTAACATATTCAGGGAGAAGTCTCTTGTGAGAATGCAATATTAGACGGTCCAATTATTATTTTTCACATCTGTTTACATATCAGTGTTGTTTTTTATTTTAAGAATAAAAAATATATCTATATCCTTTGTGTGTCAGAAACTTTGACTGTGTATTACAGTTCATTTTTATTTACTAGGATTCAGTTAATTTTACAAATTTCACCGTTTTTTTAATAGAGGCTGATCATGCAAGTGTATTTTTAAATGATTGTCCCGAGAAAGGATTTTTTCATTAAAAAGGTCATTAAAAATTGTCAAAATAGTTGCAATAATATTTGGAATGGTACTTGTAATAAACGACTTTTTTTAGATGAAATCTTCATTTCTGGAATCTATATGCTTTAAATGTATTTGACAAACTTTTGTTGACTTGCATGAGTCTACTTATAACATAAATTCTCATTAAATGATCAGGTGGTTAGAAAATTGTTTCGTTTTGCATTTGAAGCAACAGATCAAGTTTTAACTTCTTATTTTATTTTGAACTCTGTCAAATAAGTCTTTAGACAATGTATGAGATGAAGCCGATCGAACAGGTTTGAATAGTGTGCTTGTTAAACTAACGAATTTTAACCTAATTATGTTATTCTGTCAACAATCATGATAATTATTTGATTGCTAATCTCAGTTTACTTATAGTTAATGGCATATTTTAAAATACTTCATATTCTAGTGCTGATGAACGCTTACGTGAACACAGAGATGCTCGTGTTGTAGTGTCAAGTAACGGAGAAATGTTATGGGTTCCACAAGCACTGTTTAAAAGTACATGTGAAGTTGAAATCACATATTTCCCGTTCGATACACAAGTAATTTTAAACTTATATTATTAATGCTTCTATATTAAATTTGAATAATTGATTTTGACATTTTGATAATTAGTAATTACAAGTAATGTTTTACGACAACAGAATAGCTATATTATACAACCAACTGGTAGAAGTCGATGCATGCAGATTACTATTTTCAAACTTAGTGACTCAACGAAAACTTATTCTTAATTAAAGCTGAAAGTGTTGTTTTCCAATCTTTATGTACATGAAAGTTATTCATTATTGTCGCGTAGCATACGAAGATAGGAGAATTAGTAAGTAATATAGGTTTATTTCGAAAACTACTATTAAACTAAGTAACTCTTTAAGGTATTAAGTAGGATAATATGATTTAGTATATGGAGTTTTCTTTACAGTTTCTTTACAGCCATTTACTAAGGTGTTTCAAAATCAATAGTTTCAAGGCGATCTACTCATATTCCAGTTAATCAATATTATATCATGTTCTCTGGTTACGTTTTTTAAAAATGTTTTTGTTTAGTAAAATTGTCATTTCTAATAAATAGTTGTGAACTTGAGAAGTTCTGCTCTATCTAGAAAATTTATCTTTGATTTGGTCACTGTATTATAGATAGTAAACATTTTTGAATATCATTGGTAATAAAAAAATAATCACTGAGCTTAGTAATATCATTCTTCTTAAATTGAAATATTTTTTTTTCATAATAATTCGGACACGGAAATATATATCTGTTTTTCGTTTTCGATAACTTTTGTTCGTATCAATGACCCCAAATGACTGTTAAGATGGTACAGGCATCTTTACACCGATTTTAGGTAATCGGAAAACAGGTAGTATTTTCCTACTACCTTGAAGTTGAAGAACATCTTTCCTTGTAAGACATTTGAATGCTGCGAATCTTGTTCCTTCCTGAATTGTACATTTTTCCGAAATACCGTTTCTTCTACTTGAATAAATCTCCCTACTCTATCAACCATAGTGGTCACTATTAAAATTTCAGTGTAGATTTATTTATTATAGTAAAAACTCTACACTTTTTTTGAATTTGTCATGTCTTTTAAAGCCACTGCAGTGGGTACTGGCGTCCATATAATTCAGTGAGATACAAATAACATGGTTTGTCTAGATATAAATTTAGACTGAGTCTAAGAAGTCTTTTTTGATAGATTGTTGTTGACAACATATATGACAACGACATATCACTTCATCTCGTATGCCTTTGCTAACATTTCATGTCCAGAAGCGACGCGAATATAACTAAAAGCAATTGTGTTTTCACAGCAATCAAAATGTAGTTAATTTTTTGCTTTGAATTGGAATTTTTAAGAAGTTACCAAATTTTATGAGAGTGTATTTACAGTGAATTTAAGCACGTTTAATAATATTCTTTAATTGATTTTTATACTTAACTCAAGACAGTTGACATTAATATGTCGCAAACTACTCTGACAATCATTAATAACTAACATTGGCCGTCAATTTTATTTGACTTCTGTTAGCGGGACATAGACTAGATTAAAGCATGCTCAATGCATGATTGCTTTGGTGCACGCTGATTGGCTAATTCTTATCCAATCAGCACTAGTCGATAGTTGGAGAATATTCTGGAATCTTCTTATGTAAAAAACTATAAATATACTGACGTTTTTCCCTATTATGCTTCTGACTTGCTATTTGGAATATAATCTTATTCCTGTTCAACCGTGTTTTGATTTGGGGACTTGTCGAGTGAATCGGTGTCCGAGAATACTAAGCAATAGGAATAGCTGGGTCATAACCGTAAGAAGACAAGAGTTATAACAGTGGCGACGGGGAAAAAGGAAAACAAATTCAAGATGCCTATATCAGATGACCAGCTTAACCGAATACTACAACAACAGCAAGCACAACTTGATGCACAAATGCGGTTGTTAGAGACCCTGACTCAACAGCTCAACATCCACAGCTCGAGTTCACATGCTATTTTAAGTACGTCTTGTGATGCAGTTGCTAGCAGCATCCCAGAATTCATCTATGATCCCGAAAGTGGAAATACTTTTCTCACGTGGTTCAACGTTGGGAAGATACATTTAGAACAGAATTCTGTAACCAAGACGATGCGTGGAAGACCCGATTGTTGGTACGTAAGTTGGGAAGCAACGAACATGCACGTTTTGCTGACCATATATTGCCAAAGTTACCTCGAGAGCTCAGTTTCGAGGAGACGGTATTTCAGTTGTCAGAGATATTCGGCGAGTCATCCTCGTTGTTTAGTATTCGATATCGGTGTCTAAATTTGGTGAAACGCGAAGCTGATGAATATGGTGTTCTAGCAGACATTGTCAACAGAGAATGTGAACGTTTCAAGTTACGCTCGTTGACTGATGACCAATTTAAATGCTTAATATTCATCAAAGCTCTTCAGTCACCACAAGATGCTGAGATCAGGACTAGACTTTTAGCTCGACTGGATCAAGACCCAAACGTCACACTCAGAACATTGACAGATGAGTGTAAGCGTCTACAAAGCATCAGACACGACAACGAGTTGATTGAACAGGTAAATCCTAATTTAACCTGCGGTAGTGTAAATACTATTACTAGGTTAAAAGTTCAGAAGCCGGTAACAACTCGTAACAAACCAAGGACTGCATGCTGGTTATGCGGTGATTGGCATTATGCACGATTCTGTCCGTTCAAGAAGCATAAATGTCAGGCGTGCAACAAACGTGGACATAAAGAAGGTCATTGTCCACCGAAGCGTACGTCTCAGCCTAAGAAGAAGCATAAACGTCCTCGACATGTGAAATCAGCCGAGTCTAAATCTCTTTCTCTGGTAGCTGCTTTTCAAACAAACTATGACATTCGGAGAAAGTATGTTACCATCCAGATAAACGGCATATCAGCTCGTCTTCAAATTGACACGGCATCAGATATCACGTTAGTGTCTAGAGAAACGTATAACTTGCTGGGTAAACCGCCAATGAAGCCATCTAAGAAAACGGCTAAAAACGCATCAGGTGGTGTGCTAAAACTGGTTGGTGAATTACAGTGTGAATTTTCCTTCAATGGAACTAACTGTACAGGAATATGTTACCTAACAGAACGGCCGAACCTTGATCTTCTTGGTCTAGATATGCTAGACAAACTTGGAATAATGGATATACCAATTAACAGTGTCTGTAACGTATCGTGTTCATCATTGGACACCCCATTACTTCCAAAGAAGACAGGTGAAAGGTTACTAGAAAAACTGAAAAGAAAGTTTGCCTCTGTTTTTCAGAATAGCCTTGGCCACTGTACCAAGATGAAAGCGCACTTACCAGTGAAACCAGATGCCATACCTATTTTTCGCCCGAGACGTCCTGTACCATATGCTGCTCTTGAGCTAGTCGACCAGGAACTTAATCGCTTGCAACAGGCTGGTGTAATCCGACCAGTTAACTACTCTGCATGGGCCGCACCGATCGTAGTGATTAAGAAGGCCAATGGGACTATACGCATATGTGCCGATTTCTCGACCGGTTTAAATGCTGCATTAGATGTATATCAATATCCCTTACCAGTTCCTGAAGACCTGTTTGCCAAGCTTAATGGTGGGACATGTTTCGCGAAAATAGACTTCTCTGATGCTTATCTCCAAGTGGAAGTAGATGAAGATAGTAGAGAGCTTCTGACCATTAACACTCATCGAGGGTTATTTCAATACACCGTCTACCATTTGGCATCAAGACCGCACCCGCCATCTTTCAGCAAATAATGGATACGATGCTAACAGGTATACCTGGTACAGCAGCTTATCTAGATGATATCATAGTTATGGGTTCAACTGACAGTGAACTTTCTGATCGACTACACCAAGTCCTTAACCGAGTGTTGGAGTATGGTTTCCAACTACGTGAGGAAAAATGTATCTTCTTCATGCATTCGATCAAATACCTTGGTTTTATCTTAGATAAGAACGGTCGCCGACCAGACCCTGCCAACATCGAAGCCATTCAGAAGATGCCTGCACCAACTGATGTTTCTTCATTAAGATCCTTCTTGGGGTTAATCAGTCATTACAGCACATTCTTGCCTGAAATGCATCGAGTGAGAGGTCCCCTAAATGAATTACTATCGAAAGATAAACCTTGGCAGTGGTCAGCAGAATGTCAAGCATCTTTTGACAGAGTCAAATCAATGCTCAGCTCAAAGATTCTTTTGACGCACTTCGATCCCAGCTTGGAAATTGTTGTTGCATCTGATGCCTCTAGTCATGGAGTTGGAGCAGTGATATCTCACGTGTTTCCGGATAAATCAGAAAAGACAATTGCCCATGCTGCTAGATCACTTACTCCAGCCGAGCGAAACTACAGCCAAATTGAAAAGGAAGCTCTTGCAATCATTTTCGCAGTCAAAAGATTTCATAAAATGCTCTATGGTCGTACATTTACTCTACTGACAGATCACAAACCTTTGATTGCAATCTTTGGTTCTAAGAAAGGAATCCCTGTCTATACGGCTAATAGACTACAGCGCTGGGCAACAATGCTCCTGAGTTATGATTTTAATATCAAGTATCAGTCGACAAATACTATCGGTCAAGCTGACGCTCTCTCCCGATTAATTGGAGTTCAACATCCTGGACCAGAGGATATAATCATTGCCTCCACAGCAGTAGACCCAGAAATACGAAGTATAGTGGCAGATGCCATTCGAAACACTCCAGTGTCGTCAGATGAAGTCAGGGAAGAAACGCTTCGAGACCCAACACTACAAGAAGTTAGAAAGTTCCACCTAGAAGGGTGGCCCTCGAAAATCAGTTCCACAGAGCTTCAACAGTTTTACCAGCGAAGACTCTCTCTTTCAATCATCGATGACTGTCTGCTGTTTGCCGAACGTGTCATAATTCCCAAGAAGCTACAACCAGCAGTGCTTGAACAGTTGCATGCAGGACATCCTGGAATAAATCGCATGAAAGCACTAGCACGAAGTTATGTATACTGGCCGCATTTAGACACCCAACTGGAGCAGCTATCCCGTTCGTGTACCAAATGTGCATTAGCAACAAAAGCACCGCGAAAAGCAGAGCTGCAATCATGGCCAATACCACAGTTACCGTGGCAGCGTATACATTTGGACTTTGCTGGTCCACTTCATGGACAAACTTACCTTTTGGTGGTTGATGCATATAGCAAGTGGCCAGAAATTTTTCTCATGGAACACCCGACTGCAAGCTGCACAGTCAGTAAACTACGTCAACTATTCAGTCGTTTTGGAATCCCGGAATTGATAGTTAGTGACAACGGAACACAGTTTACGTCCGAATCTTCTCACAATTTTGTCGGCAGAACGGAATCCAGCACCTCCGAACACCTCCATTCCATCCCCAATCAAATGGCCAAGTGGAACGCTTTGTGAGTACATTTAAAAATGCTCTAAAAAAATCCAAAGGGGAAGGGACCACTGAAGATATCTTAGAGAGGTTCCTGTTTATTTATCGCTCTACACCGAACCCTCAGACAATTAACGGGGTCTCTCCAGCAGAAGCTCTACTTGGCAGAAAGATACGAACACATTTCGATGTCATCCGTCCTACGCCAGCTATTGAACCCCAACGAAACCTATCGATGGAGAATCAGTTTAACCGACATCATGGGGCACAAAGACGATTGTTCACGGTGGGACAAAAAGTGCTTGCTATGGACTATCGTGGGAAACATCCTACATGGACAGCTGGTCGGATCTTGAAAAAGAAGGGGAGTGTGGTTTACGAGGTGTCAGTTGGCTCGGAAGTTTGGGTACGTCATGCTAACCAATTGAAAGCAACTTCGATAGCCAGCAACAAGATTCAATATCGATTACCTCTTGATGTTCTGCTAGACACCTTTGAAATCAAAACGCCGGGAATAGACACGTCAGTTTCTGTGCAAGAAAAGAGTGATACTTCTCTATTGCCTAGACGATGGACTAATCGAAAGCACAGGCCAGTCACTCGGTTGCAGTTGGACCCTAGCACCAGATCCTACGAATCTGCTCAAAGGGGAGGTGTTAGCGGGACATAGACTAGATTAAAGCATGCTCAATGCATGATTGCTTTGGTGCACGCTGATTGGCTAATTCTTATCCAATCAGCACTAGTCGATAGTTGGAGAATATTCTGGAATCTTCTTATGTAAAAAACTATAAATATACTGACGTTTTTCCCTATTGTGCTTCTGACTTGCTATTTGGAATATAATCTTATTCCTGTTCAACCGTGTTTTGATTTGGGGACTTGTCGAGTGAATCGGTGTCCGAGAATACTAAGCAATAGGAATAGCTGGGTCATAACCGTAAGAAGACAAGAGTTATAACAACTTCTATTTTCAATTGATTGTTGAAGGAATAAAAGAAATGATACAAATGAATAATTATATTAGTTATATTAACAATAATTGAAACATTGATGTCATTTCCAGTCTGTCATTAATTTCATGCTGTTTAGAGTTGCCTATGATTTTTATGTTTGGTTGACAATTAAAGAAAATGTTTTCGTTTTCAAAGCTTCCATAATTACTTTTGAAAGCATCATTACCAAGCTAGGTAATCTATCTATAAAATATGTACAGTAATTAGGTTGTCTGGTGCAGTGATATGACATTTATGTTCATATATTGAAAGCACTAGGATCAATAAATAAATGTCTACTTTACTTCGAGTGACAAATCATCTCCAATTTTGCATGATTTCCTATACTTTTACAAAACCACTAGAAATAACATTGATTTAACAGCTCAAATGCGATTCTTATCAACAGCAGTTTCTGTGAAATCATATGACGAAAGGGTATTAAACAGTATATTTTGTTTAAAGTGTGGAAGTTTGATGAGAATAGCTCTTACTTTATGCAAAGCGGTATCCAGTCTATGTTTTTTTAGATGACACATTGAGCAAGATATAAATAGTAAACTGGATTAAAGCAATACGGTTCACACATAAAGTTCTAATCGATCCGTGTCACAGAAAAATCCTCACTGAACGTAATCGACGAATTACTTTCTGACGTCAGACTTGATTGATTCTATATGTTACAGTTTTTCATTGAAACCCAGAGAATAAACTGTAATACTTTGATATTGTGATTAACATATTTGTTTTTTAAAAACAAAACTCAAGTGTAATATTTTTGAATCACATTTTAGGATTACTTAAAATAAAAGAAGCTTGTATTAAATTATTTCATTAGTCTAATACATGTGGATTATTTTATAGATATGTATGCTAGAATTTGGATCTTGGACGTACGACAAAACACAAATGGACATATCATGGTGGATTCCAGATTCACCTCCCATAGAAGAAATGCCATATTTAGATTTCTCAGATTACGTACCAAGTAATGAATGGCGTACGGATGGCGAGAAAGAACGTGAAGTACACCACGTCAACCGTACTATACAAATTCGATCAGTTAAGAAACATCGACGTCGAAGTCAAACTGTTGGTAACGAAGTGATCACAAGAGAATATCCAGTTTTACGATATTTAATACGTTTGAGAAGGAACCCGAGTTTTTATGTATTCATGTTAGTGATTCCATGTGTGTTGTTATCATCTTTAACATTGGTTGTATTTTGGTTGCCTCCAGAATCTCCAGCAAAAATGATGCTTGGTAAGAATAGCAACACATGTACCATTTTGCTGATATTATGACTTCACTGTGATTTACTTTTGTTACCTATTTTAATTAACCTGAGTACTAAATGTTTCTTCCGGGTAGTTTAGACTTTACAGTAAAGTTACTAGGGGAAATTAATACAATATCTTCAAAAAGAATTCCAATAAAATATTCAGGGTTCTTTTAAAATTAATCTTAAAAAGGCGGTATCAAGAAGCTTTGCTTTATGATCTAGAGAATGAATGTGTTGTCACCATAAATTTTCATATAAAAAGATGAATTAGTTTAAGTCATTCCTTTGATATGAATGTAACTCTCATTTTATTTTAAAATAAATCTATGAGGTATTTCAAAATATCAGATTGTTCTATTCGTTAGTCCAGTACTCCCAATCTGTATATCTTAACAAAGGTTTACTTTCTACTTTCACTGATGAAATGAGTATTAGTTCCTATGATTTAACCATTGAAACATTCTGTATTTAGCCTTAAAAATATTTTATTAAGATATCATTTTGCTATCATTAAATCTTATGGCATAGCAACAGTTACAAACATATATATGTATCTTTCATGATATTTTTTCTCCATAAGTCCTTTAAATTTATTAAGTCTATTTCATTGTGTTTTTGGTAAATATTTCAATTTTTTATTCAAATCAGGTATGAATATATTTGTTGCATTTTTCGTTTTACTCTTACTGTTGGCTGAGTCAACACCTAGTGCTGTGAAAAATTTCCCACTAATTGGTACGTTTATTCAATTATTTATTTTACTTAATACAAAATGTTACTATTTAAAAAGAATATCACTCATTTGAGTTTACTGGATATTTAAATAATAAGTACTAAGTGAATATATAAATGATTATATCATATGGAATGAAATATTTCATTGCTACCTTTGGGAGTGATATGAAATAATACAATAGAACAGACCGATGAACTACATTCAAGTAATATGAATAGTAATACTTAGAATCATCCAACAACACAAGGATTTTTATTACATATATGTTAGTAGTAAATTGTAACACAATACATATTATAAAAATATCCAAATTGTTAGTGTCATTAGGTAATTCTGATAAAAAGCTATCTATTAACATTTTAACAGGATCATCTACTTTCCGAAATGATATAAGTACAGTTACTTCCCACTAAATAATAATAAATTTTCTATTGATTAAAGTTTACTCCAAATAACAAAGATAGTCTTTTTTGATTAATATTTCTTCAACTTTAGGAGTGTATTTTTGTTTGAATATGATTATGATTACACTGTCCACTTTCTTGGCAACTTGGTGATTCACCTTTATTTTCGAGGCGATCGTAATGGATCAGTTCCATACGTTTTGAGAAGAGTAAGTGTCTTTGTAAATAGTTTAGTAAAATTAAATAAAAATACTATATATAAGTATCAACGTTAAGGTTGGACTTAATAGCTTTAAGTAAATTGAACATTGGGTAGAAAGTTAGTAATAAATATTTTTCTTATATCCCAATGAGTAGAAAATTGTATTTCTGACGTTTTGTGACTTGGTGTAAGCCATTTCTTCGGAGTGGATAAATAACCGAATTAACACGGCTTCTGTGTATTTAAAACAAGTTCGAGTCCGGCGTGTGGCGATCGTGGATGCTCAGTGTGAGGAGTCCTACACTAGGACGAAACAACCGTCCAGTGCTTCCAGGTTTTCAGTGATGGTCTGGCTTAGATCGAGTCGTGAATTTGACTGTCAAAATAAATAAAGACTACTTAAACATATTTACTTAGTTTAAAGACACAATGTCAAATTATGTAAAATGGTAGGTAATACTTATCAATAATCTGATAATCAGTTGTACGAATAATTTAAATTTTGAACTAACTTATTCTCTATACCGAATACGGAAAATGTGATTATTAGAAAAGTATAGCATTGAAAGATAATATTTGTATTTTAGACTTAGCATAACTATACAATAATTGAGTCATTAGTTATGACAATTTGTTATTGTAAATTAAATCTAGGAAAAAAAAACTTAATAAAGCGCTAATAATTTTTCTTATGTTTAACATAATTACGTGCTATGTACTTTAGATGTTCCTTGATATTTCAAGTTAAATCGCATTATCACAATCTGTTGTTGATAAACTGAGTGATCCAGATGATTGTGTAAATGTTTTTAATAATTTACATACTGATATATATATATATATATATATATATATATATATATATATATATATATATATATATATATATATATATATATATATATATAATAAAACTATGTAATCAGGTTTATTTGACATAGGTGGAAATACTTATTAACTAGTTAAGTAGATTACTAAGTTTGATATGTTTCATATTCAAAAAAGATTCTATATTTTTCCTGATTTTTCAGATTATTATAGAGGGTATTGGACGACTCACATTAGTACGGCAGCGAATTCCTCTACCAGAAATGAAAAAACCAATTAGGCCGGCAATAATAAAACCTCACAAGACGATTCAAATTCCAGGTATGTCACCCAATAAAATTCCAACAAATGAAGAAACATACTGTGAGAATGAACGTATTAGACATTTTGGAGGTGGGGCATTTCAACAATGCAATATGATTGGTAGTAATTTTTTGTATGGAGAAGAGCAATTAGGAGGAGCTGCTAGTAATTGGTTTGCTCCAAATGAACGTCGTTCTGTCCCAAGATACCCTAATCAATTCGATTCTTATCCAATGGCCACACCAATCAATAATATTTCTCATATACCGGGAAGTGCAGGAAAATCATCAGAAAATGAGCCAGATAATGCAGTTAATCATGATGAATCACCATCAGTTCTAAGTTCAACCACTACACTGGAGCGTGATGTGAGAGAGTTGAAAAAATATGTCAAAATGTTAGTTAACCGACAAAAGGAAACAGCTCGTAAAAGTTTAGTGGCTATGGAATGGCGCACTTTGGCTATTGTCTTGGATCGTTTATTTTTCTTTATTTACATTACCACCATAGTAATTGCAGTAGTTGTTTCAGTACCACGAAGTACTGAACCAGAAGTTCCACCAGCATTTCGCGATGATTAAAACTGTTGACTGTATCAAGAGATACTAATGAACGACTTTTTGCTCAGAAAAAAAATTTGATGAAATTGAATTAAAATATAATTAGTTAATATATTTTTCTTTTATAGATCTCTTGGCTAGCAAAACAATATTCATGTGTTTTTTTTTTCATTCTTAATAACTGTCAATAATTTGTTTCTTTGACATACAATTATTGTACGAAAAATTTCAAACATGAAAGGAGATACTATTTACAAATTTCGAATTATCATTTTCACTAAGCATCACTGTTTAAAGTAGAATAATCTTTTTTCATTAGATTCTTTTACATGTTGTGTAATGCATATATTTTTCTCTTATTTATAAAATTTCATCACAACCTCTTCCAGTTTTACTGTTCATATATGTGAATCGTCTTTGGTTTGATAATCCATATTCATTCTTTTTGTTTCTTAAACTGTTATATATTTCATTTGTGTATAAGCTTCAATAACTCTCATACAATATGATACAGGAAGACACTTCAATAGATGCTTTTCATGAATTGTTTGTTGATTAATTTTACTATTGTAGGGAATGATTACAAAATGCACATATTCGATTTAGCGTACACAAAGAACTTTTTTTTTAAAAAAATATTTTGTTTTAATTTAATTGTGTTTGTCTTATTTTGAAATGATAAACTCATTCATTATTAGTAAATACTTATCCTGTTCAACAATAGGTTTTATATTTATGATAGAATAAGGAACTTGATGAAGTTACATTTATTAATTATAAATAATTACTTTCCTCATCAATTTAATATTTTTTTTTCAAGAAATTTTCTTTTATCATACGTAAGACGGACGAATCTGAAAGGTTGTTTGCTATATTGATGATAAAATTTATGATTTTAATACAAATGATATGGCGTAAAGGTAATGACTGATACCACTACATCTGTCATTTAATGTAGAAGACTATTTCACATTAAAATTAAAATAAAATAACGATGAATTTCTTTTTGGTATATTCTTGAAAACTACATGGTTTTGGTTAAAATAGTTCAAAGAATATGTGGTTTAATATTTATTGAAATGATAAAGTTTTTATACTATTAAACGGTGAAAGTATTTTTAATGTTTGTGATAGATTAATTTTAAAAAATACATTGAATATCCGGAAAAGTATAAAGATTTGTGGAAGAGTAAGACTTTAGTGTTGATTTTTAAATTATCCGGTGAACCAAGCTGAGTGATGCCGATTAAGCTCCTATTCGCCTATAATAAAACCTAGATCGATGGCTTCTTCCGGATGTATTTAATCAATTAGCAGGAATAAACAGATCTTTTAGTTCTTTCGTGATATTGTCAAAACTGGACTAATAAACATCATCAGGTTGCATACAAACCTTTTGTCTTGGTTGATTCTAAGGTATTGTTCTATCACTGAATTTAAAATCCCGGTGTCAATCAATACACTGAAAATATATCGGAAGCTGTTGTAACCGTTTTCCAAATGATGCTGAGGATTTCATTTAAATTGCTTATAATAAACATTAGAATGCTCTAATGAGGTTCAATCTATTCCTTTGATTGACATCAAACAAATGAGAAG